TTTTACGCCCAAAAAACGCAAGTTGCCAAAATGCAGCCACAAAAATATTTCTGATAGAAAATCTCTGCAATGCGCTGACGAAATACTTAGAAAAAGACGTTGCTGCCTGAAGGGATGATGTAAAAAAATACGACGTTTCCGCTTTCAGCCCATTGCTTAGCAAGGAAGGTCCGAGCCGAATGGCCTTTTCACATGAAATTGATGAAACTATAAAAGCATCAAACGCTGATTTCAAATCTGTCTTCATTATTTGCCGAGCGCCCTGGACGTCGAAATGAATGCATAATCATGATAAAATTCGTCAAAACAGCTCATAAAGTCCAATGTTGAGTATCAGAGCATTCCATTCAAACAATACCTATAACGAAAGCAGATCTAAAATGAGCGTCCAATGCTCTATAAGATAGTATGCATCTCATAAAGGAACGCCACTTCGACCAAGTATCCTTTCCTTGTTAGAAGCGGGTTATCTACCCCCTTTTGCACTCAATAAAAGGCACTACTACTAGATTTCCTCCATGAGGAATTTCTCTTCAAATAACCGCCAACTTATGAACTAGGAGCCAGCCAAAATCTCGTTTGTCCTATTTTCGCTATTCATGGTGGTGCTTTCAGCAACTGTTACTCAGAATAGAAAAAAACGGTACTTTTCCGTTATCCGGACCCATTTTTTCAAAAGCCTTTCATAAAATACATTCTTTAATCTAAGAACAGTTTTTCATAGATTCCACGAGGACTGCCTCCCTGCCACGTGTTGGGAAAAAACTGACACGTTTTGGTCCATTTTGACATGTTTTTTCGAAATCATTTCCGGTGATATAAAAGAGCATTTGTGATCACCTAAACGCTGTTTTTATTATTTTCCATAAGAGCAAGGCAATCTAGGACTTATATTAGAACATCTTGATTGTTTTCAGCAATGATTCAGAAGCGGCTTTCCCTTCAAACATTTCCCCATGCCATTTCAGCCAGGAAAGACTATGAATGATTTCTTGAAATACCACGCTGTTGCACGTTTCACCGCTTAGATGATGGACTCCTAGCGCACTTCTCTATTCTGGGCAGGTCTAGTGTGTTCATTGACAACAGGATGACGTTATTATGATAGCAATGATCATTTTGATACTGTTCAATCGATAATGGGCCACTATTGACTAAAAAACAGATCAAACTTACGTCGCTAGGTAGGGCAACTCAAACTCTTGGTGAAACCTGTTAAACATGTAGGATGGCATGTCAAATTTTTTTGACACGTGGCAAAAGGTTGACACTCCTTCCTGTGAAGGGGGAACCGAATATGGTATGAGGAAAAAAGCATCCTTTTTTGAAGAAATGGGTCCGGATAACGGAAAAATACCGAAAAAACTATATAGGCTCAAATCATTCTCGTATTATGTTGACCTGTGCCTCTTTCGCTCGCAAGAAACGTGAGAGGGCAGATTCAGGATGCTACAGTGACCCAATATTTGTCATAAATAACAACATAGGTCCGAAAACACGGCTATATCTCTTTCTAGGAAGAACGATTTCGGTTAAAACTTTTGTTCTGAAGAGAACTGTTAAGAAAATAAAAAACTAGATGTATGAGTGCTTGTAAGCTAAGTACGAAAAAGGGGCTCATAAAGCTCAATTAGGGCTCTTTCTTATGCTTACGGTAGGTAAACGTTGATTTGGAGCGGGCTTATCGTGAAAAAACTCAGGGTACAGCCAGGCACGCGTTTGTTTGGAGCATTTTTGGAAACGAAGTCCCCCACGACTTCGCGAAAATTTACAGGTCCCTTTTGACGTAAAGTCAGTAGGAAACCCTTATTCAGTCAATTTAACAACAAGAAGCAAAAGCGCGTTTTGAGGTGTCTATTAGAACAAAAAAGCAAAAAAACATTCTGAGCCGATTAAAGGCTCCGTCATTGAGTGTGGTACTATTTTAGTGTTCAGAATGTTGCAAACCTCTCAGGCCAACCAAATCTGTGGTATTAACAATCTGGAGATGCATTTTTCGCCACGTAGTTTAAAGAACACCGCATGTGATAGGAGCAGGCCCCGGCACAGATCGTCTGAAAGCAGGCTGGACTTCGTTTTTAAAGAAAACAGCAAAGGGGATATCGTTTTTGACGAGTCGGAACCGAGCACCAAGAATAAACGCCATTAGTTGAACACAAGCTTTTCGGACAGGTTATCACACAACTGACATGCTCTATCGCGCATGGCGAAAAGTGCGCGCGATATGAAAGCAAGGCTTAAATAAACAAATTGCTTGTTTACAGCGCACACAGAAGCATATGACACCAAAATTGAACTGTATGTATAGAAAATTATTTGATATTAGGTAAAAGATTTGAAAACTTATGTGAAGTAATACCTTTCCCGAAATTAGATCGTGTCAGACTGCCACCAGACGATCTGAGATCGTCTGGATCATATATTAGGTTGGCACGAAAGTTCTTGCGTAATTCAAACAAAATTCAATAACTTTTCAAAGACTAAACCTAAATTCACAATCTTGTATGCTAAAAATATTAGAAGTCTTACGCTTCATGATGGATGTTTAAGCATAAGATTCCGTGAGCTGGACATCAAGAACAAAGCTCTCGAATATGGGGCTTCAAATTTTGCGATTTTGAGTTTGGTGCCAGAAAATCGCAGAGTGCCGCTAGCTAGCCGAAAAAAAATCTGTAGAATTTACTTACACAACAAAAGTCCATATGTTACTTTGGAAGGCTTTGATCTTGCACGGTGAAGCAAAAACAAAAAATTCGTGAAATATGTCATTTTGCGGAAAGAATCCCCTCATGTCCACAGTTTTCCGGCGAAAACACTTTTTTACAATCGAGAAAACGTCACAAGGCTCTAAATAGGCACTATGTCTAATTTCTGGTTGCAAGCTGTGTTTCTGTGGAAAAGTTAGAGCGATAAGGGGATTTGTCCTGTGAAATGAACATTTTCACAAATTTTTTATTTTCGCGTTTCCATGCGAGATCAAAGCCTGCTAAAACAACGTATGGACTTTAGCTGTGTAAGTAAATTCTACAGATTTTTTTCGGCTAGCTAGCGGCACTCTGCGATTTTCTGGCACCAAACTCAAAATCGCAAAATTTGAAGCGCCATATTCGAGAGCTTCGTTCTTGATGTCCAGCTCACGGAATCTTACGATTGAACATCCATCATGAAGCGCAGGCCTTCTAATATTTTTAGAAAACAAGATTGTGAATTAAGGTTTAGTCATTGAAAAGCTATTGAATTTTGTTTGAATTACGCAAGAACTTTCGTGCCAACCTAATATTTTCGTCGCTTCACATAAGTTTCGGATCTTTTTAGCATAGACGGATTCCCCGGTCAAAAATCTATTCCCGAGCATGAAGACATTTTCTTATCATTGCCTTTCCTTTGTTTTTGCTTCATTTCTTCTCGCTTTGTTAAATATCGCGCTCTAATGCCAAAGTCTTGTGCATGCATAGCTCCAATTTGGATTTTCACTCTTATCTTACGTCTTTTCTTTCGGACTAGTAATCTTTCTTGTTTACATTTTCTCGTAAGCAGATAGGTCAAAAGGGACTTCGTAAAACTTCGGGAAGTTAGGGGAGACTTCGTTTTCAGAAACCCTAGAAACCGACTTGTGCCGGACCCTTGATAGGAGCGCCACATCTATCAGTACATAGGATTATGCTAATTTTGTCTCAAAAAAGAAGAAGAGGCTATGGTTTGATTATCTGTCTACTGTATGATAGATTTTTGAGCGTTTTCATCGTCCAAATAAAAAAGGTTCGAAACTTATGTGAAGTCTTCGAAATTTATGCTCCGAACCAGCGCAGTTGGTTTGGTGTTGGTCTAGAAGCCAACAAATTCGCGAACGGGTATTAGTATAATAAAATTTTCAAACTATATAATTTGTTTGGAGTGATACATATAATATACACATAGCCCAAAATTGGTACCATGTGGTTGTTTGTGCACTGTAAACAAGCCATTTGTTTGTTTGAGTTGCTTTCGAAATTCGCGCTCTTACGAAAAGAGCACGTTCAACTCGTAAAACCTGGCATTTTTGTCGATTTTTTTCGCCGCTTCTCCCGAGACTTCTTGAAAACGATGTCCCGGTTGCTTCTAACCTCAACCACGAAGCCTAGTTCAACCCAGACCATCTGTGCTGGGCCCTGCGTCTCAGGGTGGGGGGGGGGGGGGATCATATGCGACGATGTGCCATATCTCTTGCTCGACCCCGTTCAAGGTGCGCAATAATCTCCAAGTATAAAAGTGGTACTTTTATATAATACTCCAAATGAAGTTCTATGAAAACTATGATTCAAAAGTAAATTTGAAAGCATTGTTAACATTTGGATATTAATCTTTTACATCTTAGATGGAATCTCTGCAGCCATTTTAGTGTCTGGCAGTAAATACAAAAGTATAATCAAGCTTTCTCAATTATTTTTGAGAACTTTAGCCATTGTGGAAGAAATAAAACATTTTAGTTGCCGTTCCGGAAGGTGTCAACCTTGCTAAGCGATTCAAATCATCATTGCAGAAATTTAACAGATACTGAGCGACTAATAGCAAAAGTAAAAATTCTCGCTAAAAAGGAAGGGTGTTTCCACAAAATCATCTTACATTAGTGTATCTAATACATCGTTAGCATCGAGATAGAAACCATTACGACGAAACTATTTCAGCCAAATTGTAAAACAATTTTGGCTTTATTTGGAAGTTTCTAAATGTCCAATAAAAATTGAAATCGATGCTCCAGTTTCAAGCAAAACAGTCATTTTCATAGAAGAATTCGATGGTACTTCAAGGACAAGAAGCTAAAAGCTGGAGATTGCTCGAGATGTCTGTGAATTTACGCAGTTAATCATTCAGATGAATGCAGCGCATATATTCTGTTTTGATTGTGAAAGGGAATCGATAAAAAGACGTCACTATCAGAAATCTATTACAGGCTATAATGAAAGGCAGATTCTTCAAAAGTGTGGAGTCTTGTAAGCTAGAAGATGGAGTGAAAGCCATACCGCATCAAGGATGTTTCTTCACTAGTCGGAATTGAAGCTACCGGTTTTCACGAATACCGATGGATCACGAGAAATGAGAAGGGAACCAGCGAAAATGTATTCTGTGTAGAATGGAACGCTGTGGGCCTAATTTGTAATCAAAACTGGTCGCAACGAATACGAAAATGGTGAGTTATCCTGGTGTCGTAAATGGTTATCGCTACATTTGCTCCTGAATATTCCCATACTCGCTTCAAATGCCTCGCATAAAATCTGCTTGCTCCAACGAATAACAATCATGAATAGAACGATTCTCACAAGCATATTCTACACATAACTTACAGCAGATTATATTCAGTGCATGATGTTTTACATAACCAGGATCGAACAGGGGCTTTCTATAGAATAAAAGATAAATGGTTATATCTTACTAGCAGTTCAGCTGTCTTACTGGCGATACAGCTTGTAAGATTGTAGCCTAACTGTAAAGTCTCTTACCACTAAGGTTAGCTTACTCTTTCTAACCAAAAGTAAAGAGCGAAAGCCGGAACAAAAATTATTTCTAACATACATAGAGTATGGCTTCCAAGCAAAGAATCAAAACTCTATAGAATGACTCAAATAAAATGGTGGGAAAGAATCTGCTCAGACTTTTGTTAGTGATTCAACGCAACTCCTGCGCTTCCCCGTATTCAGTTCCTGTAATGAAAAACGCTCTTAAAAATGGTTTGGCTTCGGCCGTGCCATAACCTGCCTGCTTTTTAGAGTCCACAAAAACTCTATTGCAAGAACAACTTCTCCATTTCTGATTTGAACTCACGATTTCAGTAACTTGTGCAAAGAATTTAAACTTGTCTGAACAGTCAGTTGTTTGATAGTATTGTTCTTTCATTGGAAACTTTGGCTCAAGCACTCAGTGCTTTTAAGAACCTTCAACAGAAGAGCTGCAATTGTCGGGGTTCGGCACGAGATGGCTTTTGAAAAATGCAAAAAACAAAGTCCCCCTTGACATTTGCGATTTTTTACGAAGTCTTCTTTGACTCTAGACCTTTGAGCTAAAAAACCCTCAAAAACGAAACTCGGCTTAAAAACGTCAATTTTGCGTCTTTTCAGCGGCCTAAAAACGATACACCCTTGGTTTTTGTCCCAAAAACGATATCCAGCTTGATTGTACCTGTGCCGAGCCCTGGCTATTATGCAATTTCCCTAAAATTTTTTAGTTTTTACACACTGTAGAAATTTAAGCTTTGAAGTTCTAGTCTAGAAATGCAAAAACAGTTTATTTCAACAGATATGAGATTATCTTCACTCTCGTAAAAATTTAGTTCACGACCAGTTTCTTCTCTTTCTTATGGCGTATTTCCTGAGTTGTTTCATCCATATATAATGATGTTTATATGAAGAGCATTTGTAGCCCTCATCCAGATAAAATTCTGTAGAGTCGTGAACAACGCAATTTTCTCATTTATAGCAAAATTTCCAACATTTAAACTTTTCCCCTCTTTGCAGTGGAATGTTCTGCGGTGATAGAAACGAGGTGCCTTGATAATTCTTCCTTCTATCTGCTTGATGCAAAATACCTAATCTACTAATAAATCGAAAATTTTCTGTTAGCCACTTAACCTTTGAACGTAGCCTCCGCGCCAATTTCACACTGAGGTCACGGCTACGTTAGCGAGTTTGGTTCGCGCCTGCATGAGAAGAATGGAAGAATGCCCGTGTGTAATACTGGACAGCTTATAACCTTTTACTGTCGTCCAGCTAATAAAAGAACTTGTTTACGTAACAAATGACCTTTGCCAAAAATGGTATAAAACCCCAGATTGAGAGCGGTTGTCATCTCTCAAACAATGCGTCTCATCCTATTCTTGAGTTTTATAGTCGCTATTCGCTGGTGAGTGAACCTCTGTGGAATACTCTGCATTATCTTGTCTACACTTTTGTATTGTGCAAATTGCTAATTTTAGTGGCCAATCCGGTTCAGGCAGTTATGGAGGCAGCGGCGGAGGTGAGCAAAATTGATCTTTTCACTTTCTTTACCAGTCACACTTATACCCAAACTTAACAATAAATACGAACTTTAGGTGGAAGCGGTGGCGATATGGGTAGCGGCGGAAGCAGTGGAGGTGGCGGTTAGTCGATAACACCTATTTTTCTTGTAACAAAATATAATCAAATTTTTTGAAACAGGCTACGCCATGGCACCTCCATCGTCATTCGCAGCGGATAGTCCCGTTGCTCCTCCTCCACCAATGCCTTCTTCAGATTCAGCAGGAGCCGGAATGACATCTCAACCTTCCTCAGGAGGATACCAGTCCCCACCTCCATTAGGAGGATACCAACCACCAGCTCCACCAACGGGAGGTGCTCCTCTTCCTGCTCCTCCTCCGGCTCCACCTTCACCATCTCAACCTCCTGCAGGAGGATACCAATCACCGCAGCCACCATCAGGAGGATATCAGCAGGGAGGCGCCCCTCCTCCTGCTCCACCTCCTCCTCCTCCACCATCACCACCAGCAGGAGGACACCAATCACCGCAGCCACCATCTGGAGGATATCAGCAAGGAGGCGCCCCTCCTCCTGCTCCACCACCACCTCCTCCTCCTCCACCATCACCACCAGCAGGAGGATACCAGTCGTCACCACAACCACCATCTGGAGGATACCAGGGAGGCGCCCCTCCTCCTGCTCCACCACCACCTCCTCCTCCTCCACCATCACCACCAGCAGGAGGATACCAGTCGTCACCACAACCACCATCTGGAGGATACCAGGGAGGCGCCCCTCCTCCTGCTCCACCTCCTCCTCCTCCACCATCACCACCAGCAGGAGGACACCAATCACCGCAGCCACCATCTGGAGGATATCAGCAAGGAGGCGCCCCTCCTCCTGCTCCACCACCACCTCCTCCTCCTCCACCATCACCACCAGCAGGAGGATACCAGTCGTCACCACAACCACCATCTGGAGGATACCAGGGAGGCTCACCCCCTCCTGCTCCACCTCCTCCTCCTCCACCATCACCACCAGCAGGAGGATACCAATCACCGCAGCCACCATCTGGAGGATATCAGCAAGGAGGCGCCCCTCCTCCTGCTCCACCACCACCTCCTCCTCCACCATCTCCACCAGCAGGAGGATATCAGTCACCACAGCCACCATCTGGAGGATATCAGCAGCCAGCTCCACCAACTGGAGGAGCTCCACCTCCTGCTCCTCCACCTCCACCACCATCTCAGCCACCAGCAGGAGGATACCAGTCGGCGCAGCCTCCGTCAGGTGGACCTGCACCACCAAGCGGTAGCGGCTATGCTGTGGCTCCTCCTTCCTATGGCTCATCTCCATCAGGTCCATCTCCACCCGGTGAGTCCCCGAAGATGATTGTAGGGCAGTAAACTCAATTATCATTTATCGTCTGTTCGAGTGTTATAGTCTAAAAGAACATCAGCCAGACAAGCTGCCACTATTCTGCCAAAATGACTAAACCTATTGATTTCAGCAAGTGGATATGCTAATGCTGGCGGCTCTCAAAGACGTGTACACAAGAAATTCAGGCTTGTGCGAAGGCTGCATGCCAAGCGAAGAATGTTCCATCATCATGTTTAATATGTACAAAGCTTTAACAAGGACAATAAATGAAATTTTATACTTGTCAATTGCTTTCATTGTCTCAGCGAATCAACTTATTCATAGCAATATCGGCTAACGTAAGCACTGCAAAAAACAGTCTCAAATAATGTGTAATGGTATTCGCTACGACGCAGACAGTCATTTGTTTTGCATTTTTTCCGACAGTTAAACCTGCTGAAAACCTGATGTACATACACTTTCGACAAGAAATTAAAAGGGGTTAGAGAGCTTTCAAGGTTGGTAAAGTTCACATGAAATCAAGTTTCGAATTCTTTTGATGCAAAAAAACCCACTTCGCTTGGCTTCATAATTAGCACAAAACATCATATCTCACTCATGGCCATGATAAGTCTGACATATCCTGCAGCCAGTAGTACTGACTTGTATAGAAAAGCTAAGAAGACCGCAAAAGAGTAAAATCGGAATTTTCTTTGTTTTTGAGTAATCTGATAAAGTGCCTGCCTATTTCTTAGAAGGCAAAACCCGTCACGAGACTCAAACTCAAACTGGATACACCATTTCACCCGCTTGATCGCTCATTCGCGTATTTAGAGGGACTGTCAAAAATTGGTGTTGTCGCCTGGTAACGATATACGAATGCAAAGCTTTCATCACACCTTTTCAAAAAGAGCTGATAGTAATGCCACACCCATAAGCAGCTCATCCTTTCTTTCGAAGTATTTATCAGCTCATCCTTTCTTTCGAAGTATTTATAACTTCAAACAGCAACAATTTCGTGCTGACAGCATTGTACCGTAACTTACAGGTTGTTCATTAGAATAGCGTCCTTCTACACAAGCCAAAAAAACCTTGGCATTTTGGCGAAGTTCTCATCGGAAACTGATGATGGACCTTGAACCAGCACAGAACACTTGTGAGTCGAGTTTTGCGACTCTCGGCTGTGCGCTGCTATTGAATAGTCCATTGTAAGTTCACTGTGAGGCAGATTTCGGCAGTCGTCGACTTCATCAGCCATTGCACAAATAAAAAGAGTTTCCCTTCACCTGAACCAGCATATGAGATGGTAAGCAGGAATACGTTCACTAAAATCAATTTGTCAATTTTTGCATTCACTTGAGCCCAGAAGAGAGGGTACATAGCCAAGCAACGAGGTCGACTACACATCCAACAGCTTTCAAGGACATTTGTATCATAGGCTGGCTTCTGTTAGGTTTTTATGATAGCGTAAAGTAAATGTTTTCTCCTTTTATTATAGGCTTACGGTAAATTTTCGGTTGTTAGCTTTGTGATAAGATAACTCCCGCTTCAGAAGGTTTCTCGAAAACTTAGACAATTTTCTATCTCTCGGACAAGACGATCCAAACATAGACTCACAATCAGTGAAGTTTTGCAAGGTTGTTTATGCGGTGTAATCAGTTCAATTGGGAATTTCAAAAAAAAAAAAAGAACAGTTCCTGGCTCAACTATTGCACGAAATGGTGCTATAAGGACTTTCAGTCTCTTTCTTATTCAAGATTCTCTTCTTCATGAAAGTTATGAAGCTCTTGAATACGTAACTCGCCCATTCATTATCGAAAATCTGTTAGTGCAAAGTACTTAGCAATGTAAGAGGCTTCAGTTCAAAACTACAGTAACCATCATATTCCTTTTTTTGATTTGGCTGAATTTCCTTGTCCAACCCACTCTACAGTCCATCTATACGCGTCCGAAATAGACAATGAATTACGGCTCCACCTGCACGAAGCACTACATTATTTACTTCCAACTACCGTCAAATATTATTTACAGCCAAATCAAATTCATAAGAGGTAAATCAAAGAGGAAGTTATTAGATCTAACAAGTCCATAGAAAAAAAGAAACCCAGTAAGCACATCATGCAATGAGGATGATTGCGAAAGCACTGTACTTTGCACAATGAGGGCATGATAGTCATATGTTCTTGTGACAAGGGTCAATGATGTTGGAAAGCATAGCACACAACACCATCGTTTTCGGTCTGACAGTATACTTCTCCCCGTGATACGTAGGTAAAGTCGTCCTTGGTACAAAACACCGAGAAGAAACCTAAATTTTTGCAATTATTTGTATTCGAATTCAAAACAGGATAATACCTCCAAACTTCTCCTCTGCAATTCTTTGTATTAGACGCTTAGCCACTGCTGGAGTGCGGTGTGAAATCTGTAAATGGAAATTTCTCCTTCTAAAATTTGGAACAATCAATTCCTTACAAACCTTGTTCATGACTTCCTTCAACTCTTTGCTTGAGCATCGATGATCCTTCAAATCCGTATCCGTAATTGACTTTGACTTGCCGCCAACTTTGACAGTCTTTGCAGATTGTGCTAGCACCTGCGAAAATAACTGATACAACTGTTATATCACTTTCAAATTCAGCTGCTAATCTCCTCCCCCTTCAAGAGAATCGCGAGACTTTGGATTTGGCCTCGAGTATGATAGCCAGAATGACTTTTTAGTTCCTTTTCTCTCAGCCTCCCCTCCCGCGAAATATGAATACATTTATACTCTAGTATTGTGCCATTGCTTTAATAGCCTAATTTCTACCCTCTCTCCCATACCTTCGATACATAGAGCCATGTACTCTGGTAACCTTCACTTTGAGCGTCATGATAGAACACAACCTGCACCTGGGAGAAGTACAGAAGTCATCCGGGCGAAGCCCCGGAAATTATGACATAACTAATGACATAACTGTATAGGGATGAATTTAAATGAGGCAAATATAGCAGTGACATTCAAAAGAAGCTCAAAAAAAACCGAAGGATTGCGTTTTTATGGCCTTTTTTGTTGAGAAGAAAGTTTTATTTAAAAATTCAATCAAAAACTAGGGCAAAATTTTTAATTAACCTTTCTCTGAACTGCGGTTGAATGTTGGAAGCTTATTAAAGCCGCTAGAGTTCAATAAAAACGAAAAACTGCGCTCAAATCTTGCGCAAAGAGTCGCCATATGAATGCTGGTCTATCTCGTAATGGAGTGATTTTCAAGACCCGCGACGTTGTCAGTGCTCCTGGCCGTCTCATGAGGATCACAACGATATATAATTTTGCAGGGTTTCATTGAGACCCTGCGAAGATCCACGACCAGAGCCAAATGCCCCGTCGGCTCTGGTCTTGCTCCGCTGCTCGTCTGCGTCTCCGCGCGCTGCGCACTACCTCGCTACCTCAAATGCGGGGCGCGGGGCATTTGGCTCTGGTACCCTTTTCTTCGTTGTTCGGAGCCCAATTTCGGTAATCTATATATCATATTAAAGTTCTTGATCTCTATTTTCACGCTGACAATGTCGCGGAACTTCTTTTTAGGATTTAAACGAGAAATCCTCGAAAAACGGAGTTTTCGAAAACCTCTCGTTTTTTCTTCAGTTTAACTTTTTTCACTCGGTTTTTTTGTGCATTCGATAGGTCTTGTTTCTGTCTACGATGTAGACAACGTCGCCGAGCTTACTTCTTTGCTTATACCGGCTTTTTTGTGAAAAATACAAAAAAGTGCGTTTTTCTTTACCTTGTTCTCTTTCTGTGCTTTTGCAGCGAATTTTTTCCAGCTTGGACGATACTTGCTCAGAATGATGAGCGGAAGAATCCAGACAACGTCGCAGCGTACGAAACGACTATGCGGGGGTGAAAATTTGAAGGACGCATCAAAAATCAGATTGGCGTCGATGTGCAACACAACTTTACAGACATGTTTAACATGTTCAATTCAGTTGTTGACAAGTTCTTCTTCTTTCGGTCTCCTAACTAACGCCACAGCTAAACAGCGCTTTTTTGACTGGAAAAGAACTTTGTTGTTGTTGCCACCCATTTTTACCGGCAATCCTGGAGACGAAACTCTGGGTAGGAAACCACCAAGTTAAGGTTTCAGATTTGGTGATGTGCTAACCTCTGCTTTATATGAATTTTCTAAGTTTTCTAATTTAATTTGTATCTCTAAATTTTCGTCTATTTTTCTGAAACAACCTTCACTTTTTATAGGGGGCAAGAACTCAAACAACTATCACTTTCTAGCCCTTGTCTCTTGACTATCGAAGGTATGCTCTCTCCCTTTTAGCCGACTTCGGCTAACTGAGACTGCACATCGTAACAATGCCGTACCCTTCTGCCTCCTGGTCCACAGACGGATGCACAACGACCGCAGCAATCATTGATAGGTGGCCGATATCCTGGCTGTACATAACCTGCAAAAAACCCTTATTTGTTCTATTTCACTCTTCCTGTATGATGTGATCTAACCTCCTGTCATCGGATAAGGATATGGTGGTGGAGGTGGAGGTGGTGGCGGTGGAGGGGGATATGTCGGCATAGGTGCATATGGTGTCACATACCCTCGTGGCATGTACGGTGCAGGTCGATAGGGTGTTGGGACCATTGGGATACAAGCTGGGATTAATTTGTTAATGGTTGTTATGATAGAGAGCAGCGAAACTTACCAACTTGTTGTGGTAAAGGTTGAGGTTGTCTGTAAGATATTCGGGTGGCCAGTGGTTGATAAACGCTTGATGACTCACGAATGTACGTCGATGCTGGTGCTACCGTAGCACTCTGAACAGAAGAAAATTCATAAAATTCATTGCATGTGAACTAAGCATTGAGTTAAGGAAAGGAGAAGCCCCCTCCCTATCAAGAATGGGTTGCAAAATTTTTGCAAGTAGCCTTCAAAGTTAGATATCACTAAAGTTTTCATAATTACACTATTATTTTTGCAATCATTACAATAACTATTGGAAATTGAATTCAAACTAGCCGCCCCTGGAGTTGGAGGGGGAGGGGAGGGGGGTTCGACACAGTAGCAAGAAAGAGCGGTAGAGAAACGAATCATGTCTTTGCCGAAAATCGGAACGCTCCATTTTTATGTCGAAGATATAAATACCTCTACCGCAGCAGTAGGTTCTTCAGGTATCGCTTTGAGTTCTGCCACCTTTTTGTCCATTTCTTCATATTCCTGAAAAAGAATTTTGTTACCATCACTCGTTCTGGTCATTTTTTGTAGTTATTGAGGAGAAAAGCTCACATTTGTCGACACTTTTACGGGCAGCAAAGCTGGTGCCGACTCCCTATCACTGGAGATAACATCGAGTGGACTCTGCTCGTAACCGCCACCGCCACCGCCCTGACCTGCAGCGCAAATGCTTTACAAAAACTTCCGCCCTCCGTTCAGAACTAACTCAAATGATAACCCTGAGGTTGTGGTGTGAAGACAGGTTGAGGTTGAAGCTCGGGTAGGAATTGCGGTTGTTGTGGTTGCTGTTGTGCCATGTAGTGACCGTAAACCGGTGCGGTGGCGTAACCACCGCCACCGCCACCGCCGCCACCGACGCATCGGTAGCCACATTGTGCATTGGCGGATGTGATGAAGAAGAGAATTGCAAAAGCTATAGGAAACCTTAGCTTCCGCTGCAAATCCATATGCTTCATGTCACCACCAGCACTGTAAATATTAATATCAAGAACGACATACATACAATCTGGCGCAAAGCGGTGAAACTGTTAGCCACATTTCGGCCTTGACGAACGATAAAAGGAAGATGAGCCTTCAAAATCCCTTCTAGAAGATTTCGGAAGATAATCGGCGAATGCTACTTTGGCGCTAGTATCTTCCCTAAGTCTTGTGGGCACATGAAAAATGACTCCTGCATTTCATATGTGTAAAGCGCAAAAATTCCTTTGCCGATGATTGCGGCATGGAGCACCTAGAGAGATATTATTGAGAATAGAGGACGATCCAATATGATTTTGGGAATTTGGAGGTTACCAGCTGACATAAGATGTATGCTGTTCGAGCATAAAAGGAACGTAAGAGCTGAAAAATTGTCGTTTCAGTGGGGCTAGATGGAGAGGTGAAATTTTTAGGTGAAATTCGACCTTATATGGAGATCTACTAGAAGTCACCTTGTTTTACATCGCAAATATCTATTTTTCCATTATGTCTTACAATTGAAGCTTGTGTAGACGAAGTAGCCTTACTATTATAAATGTGGTTCACACCATATTGAAGGGCATAAAATGCTGATTCCAAAACTACCTTCCTTAACTGCAGAACATTTATGGATGAGAAGCTATGAGCGTTTTTGAAGCCAAAAATTGAATGTGCATTTTGAATAAAATGAGTCAAGATCTTACTAACCCTCAAATAATGCAACCAGGTGTGATATATTTTTTATTTTAGAATATTTTTTCGAAAAAGGGCTCTGGTGATCATCACTGCTCCATTGAAGAGCTAGAAATGTATTACGGCTATTTTTGTCCTACTTCACATTCAATTTTTTGTTCCAATAAGAGCTCATGACTCCTCACCTAAACGTTCTGCGGATAAAAAAGGCGGATTTGGAATCTGCATTCTATCTTTTTCAATAAGGTATAATCCATCTAAAAAGGTCATTTCGACTCAATACGTTTTGGTAGAGGAAGAAAATTTTAGAACCCCTTGCTTACATGCAATCGGCTGCAAAGAAAAGTGGATTATACAGTAGATGTTTGCGAGTGGGTGCGATGTTTATAGTGCAAAACTTACAAGGTCGAGTAGATTATCTAAAAGGCAATTTTGCAAACTGCACTAGGTGAGGTTGAGTTTGCAGAGATTCTAGCAACAGCAGTTCTCACAATCTTATGACAAAATTTAGTTATATGCATGAATGAAAGCGAAAACATAGAGCCAATGGTCCTGTCACAGTTTTCGAATGAACTACAGTATTATCTCAATACAGTACAGCTAATGAACTATGTTACTATTTTTGGAGAGAAGTAAATTAAAAGGTAACCAATTTTTTGCAGAATTTCAAAATAAATTTTCTTTTTCAAAATGCTGAAAGCTGGTTTAAAATTTTTTGTGGAATATGTTGAATTATCAGAATCGCGACTGGTTACAAAATTATTTTATGTCTAGAAAAATTACGCTAGATTGTGCTCTTCTGAGTAAAAGAGAGGTAGATAAGATCTTTGTAAAAAAGATAAGTTTTTTCGTACTTCCAATTTGGTCACTACATTCCACAAGGAACGAAGTGGTGTCGAGAGAAGAAAAAAGAGCCGGACGGACGGCCTTGCCAGAGCGCGCAGCCGCAAATGCGTTTGTGCGCAAGCAGCCGGCTTTATACGGAGGCTGTGAACGGCGCCGCGCGTCTGGCACCGGGCGCTTCCGAAGCCGAGCTGCTCGACGCGGCGGCCTGTTCTGGGCGGCTACGGCGGATATGCGCAAAGCCGTCGTTTGCCGAAGATCAGCCTCAGCGAAAGAGTTTCGCTTGCCTTGCCGGCTCTACCCTGAGAGGATAATTGCAATGACGATTTCGGGTCGCCCTTTCGAAGCCAACAAATAATTGTTGGATTAGGGAAGTGAAAGTCGGCTAGCGATACGCCAGCTTGAGCTATGCGCCGAGTCGAACGGAGGGGGTTGTAAACCAAACGAGGTTATGGACAGCATACGTGACCTGTTTGACACTGCGGGAGCTCACTTTTACCTGATTTTCTGCAAATGCCGAATGTAACTAAACAATAATTTTATAAAACTGGACAATCATATTTACATATTAGCTTGTCCCGAAAGTTTTGTCGGTTTTTCATCGATCACTGAAACTCACAGAACACCAATCTATGGGCAGACTAGATACCATTTAATTCATTTTATCCTCTTTCATACAGCTATATTTTTTCTCTGATCTACTCTGTCTTTGCAATCTTAGTGCCATGACTTTTTGAGCAGCTCAGCAGTGACGCCAAATATTTCCTAAATTGTAAAAATTTTAAAACTAATGTTTTCAAAGGGCGCTCGTTACTGTTATGTAGAACAAATCTTTGGCTACATTGCGTTTATTTTCGATTACATGGGCCACGTTTACCAAGTCCGTTATAATTAATTATTTAATAAAAACCGCGACATTTTGATTACATTTACCACGTAAAAGTACCGAAAATTCCAAAAAAGCTGCTTTTTTAACGCAAATCAAAATTGGTCTGATGCATAAATGATCTTTAATAAGAATCACTTTTCAGTTCGCAGAAACTATGGTAATTTCCGTGTATTTTCTGCAGTTGCGTGTTTCATGACTTTGCCAAAAATCGAGACCTCTTAAGGAATAATTTTTTTCAAGGAATAAACAGCAGATTAGGAGAATCAAAAATGTTGCCTTGTAGTCCGAGAATTGTTCTATTAGAATCATACTTGACCATCCTGGAAACTTTAGAATGAAATTTTTAAAAATTAGCCGATCTTTGACCAGATAAGATTGGCGGATGGAGAATTTTAACAAATATCGAGAAAAGCATACAAGATTTTGGCTCGAGAATGTATCCATAAGAAAGAGAAGGAAAAGCTGCATCGAATGCATGTTGAAACTCATTCAGGTGTTTATTGTGTGTAGTTTTATAGTGGTTTTAAAAAATCGACAAAACTTTCAGGACAACCTAATATTTCATTAGTCAAGGTTTTCATGCGCATTTCTTGCAGAAATTGTTTTTTTTATATTCCCCAATGAGTCATCGAAGCTATATTTAGTGGATCGACATGCACGGAAGCACTAATACTTTGGACGAACCTCCTAAGCAGAACAAATCATCCTCACCTATGGCCCAAGCATACCCCACGCGATTTTAGTCGCCACGCGTTTTGGCTATTTGCCAAACCCAAAACTCGCAGACCACAAATGCTTGGTTTCAACTTTGGTGATGCGATAAAATGTGCTATTTCACGTGTGCTTAAATTGAGTTTACGACAAGTTATAAGCAATGGACTATTGCCAAGTCGCGTCGCGAGTGAAATCGCGTGAGTTATGCTTGGGGCCTAACACAGGCCATGAAACTGTGACGACGAGTTCGACTGCAATCTTTGCGTCCACCCCAACCCCATAAGAGCATCAAACACACACACACATCACACTGAAACACCCAATGTACGTACAACATCATTGCTCAGTTAAGTCAATTTAGCTATCTAAAAGCTATCATGAACATGCAAATAAAAAGATTCGAACAAGACGGTTGCATACGCGACGCACGCGACCGCCGCCATACATTGGCCCTATGCCCGAATGTACCAATGAACGACCCATATGCGAATGTACTATGTTCACATGCAGAACGTGCAAAAAGAACTCCAGCGTTTCTACTTTTGTCTGCATAAGTATAGAAGAATTTACCACGCAATAGTGAAGAAAATCTCTTAGACCTCTTATCTTTAGACGTCGCCAATTTATAGTGAATTTTCTATATATTTGACGGCTTCCAGAGATTCATACTTTATGGTCCATTTGCTTTGCACCTAACAGTTAGATTCTTAGATTGTCATACCTTAAGCGATTTTAAGCCGCGCGATTTGCAATGATTATTCGTGATACGCTGTAGATGCATTCTGCGTAGGCGGAATTTGGCATATAAGCACGGCTTTACAAAAGCTGAGCGTATGCATCTGAGTTACACTTGCGTTGGATCTGCAGACATTAAAAAAATTGCCAGTTCGCATTGAGACGGCGACGACGAATGACGCTCATTGTGTGCATTGAAGGTATCGCTCGATGTAATATGCGACTTGGGTTTCTTATGATGGAGGAAATTTATTGCTAGGAGCACTCTATTTAGTCTCAAAATATTCCTTCGTTTACACTAGATTAGAGTACCTGAGATCCCCAGTAAACGTAGAATTCCATTTGCTCCGTTATTATTTAGACTGGAGTCTTCACACAAAATCTGTATAATGGCAAACTTTGCGTAGACAACGTAACTCGTGTCCAACGCCTGCGCCTCAGCAAACAAGCACTTGGCAAGGCCATTCCCTCAAGGTGAAAACAACGGTCTTTTGTAAGACTATTATACATATGTATGGCCACTGCTCTTATTGTTAGACGAGCCGATGCACTTATTAGATAGTGTCTCTTCAACCAATGTATGTGACTGCAGACAACGACAAAATGGACATGCACCTTTAACTACTCTACAAGGCGTCGCAATGACGCTCATTGTGTGCTTCTGTGGCTCGACTACATTCGAGCAGATTTCCTTGCAAACGTGCAATTGCGAATTCTCCAAGGGAGAGTTGAGAGAAGATCCAGACATTACTTTTCTGGTATTTTTACTTGCTTTTGTTTGTGGGTGCAACGAGAATGTTCGAAGAAGCGCTTTGATCATATTCTATGCACTTTATGTAGCTTAAGCTACACAAAGTGACGCCTTCTCGTGACGCCACGATGACGTCACAAGTAGGGACCCCTCCCCGGGGCTTGCAAATCTCTGCTCCGCGGGTGCACCAGAACTGGAGGATCCGGAGCACCAAAATGGTGGAATGGGAGGGCTCCGGAGCACGAGTGGCAAACCGCCGCTGGGCAGAGCTCGGGACCCTCCCATTTACGCTCCGGAGGTATCCCTTCGACTGTCTGAGTTGGAGAGTGCAACAACTTCTCTGAACAGAAAGAATTACTTTACTCAAATTGAAAAAAATTGCACATTTTTGTACATTTCAAAGCAACACAGGCCACCTC